ACTTTCCTTTTTGCTTGTTGAATGTTTCAATGCTGCAGTTGATTGTAACGAGTCCAAGTTGTTCGCACGTGTTGCATCCAAGCATGGCAGGCCCTTGTACATCTGTTACAGTAAAGGGTACCTTCATAGTATTCCCATTGTAGTGTACGTACAGTTCACATGTACCGATACAACGGATTTCCTGTCCACCATACGCGGTTAGAATATGTGGTGGCCCGAGTACTTTATCTTTCGGTAAAGCGATTATCTTGTCGAAGTCTGTTTTAGACATAACATTGGTCTCTGCGCCCGTATCAAGTTTACATGATAACCTTGTCATTTTCTTGTGGAATGGCCGTGTTGTGACGTTAACGGTTGTAATCACTTTGTTGCGACTTGAACTCTGTAACCCGTTGACTTCAAGCGATCCCATAAAGAATCTTTTAAAATCTTCTTCACAGTGTTCAGGACTTGGTTCCTCGTTTATTTCGTGTACTTGTCTGCGCTTGTTACACATCTTACTGAAATGTCCTCGTCTGTGGCAGTAATGACATTCGACACCGCTGGCGGGGCATTTCCGGTTTGCTGTGTGCTGTTCATTCCCGCAACGGTGACACGTGGACTTGTTCGTCGATTTAGTTTCTTTATTCATACTTGCGTTGATTTTGCGTTTGTTGCTGTGGACCCTTTAGAGCATTTACTTCATGGCTTGCGTTGCTCATCGCGACAAGTTGTTCACGTGTTGCTTCTTCGGTTCGTGCGATTTCCCTCGCTCTCTGGAACATCAATGAATTTCCCTCTGCAATGCATTTCTTTCTAACAGTCTCATAGCCAGTGCCAAAAACTAGAGTGTCTCTCAGCATTTCATCTCGTAGTTCGACGGGAAATCCACAACTTTGTACGATGAGTTGTGCTTCTGTCAGAAAGACGTCTAGCGGTCTGCCGTTTTGTCTCACATTACGTAAATTAAATCTGTTCAAGATATGGTTTGCTTAACATGATCCTCAAATCTCTTCCAATATCCATTTATGTCCTTGTGCTCTTCCTCGTCCAATGTCCAAGTGTTGTATAGATCTAGTCCATAGTCTCCTGACCATAACAGTAGGTAGTTAATCCTTTGCTCTTTAGTTTTGCCCTTCAATGGCCCATCAAACATGAGTTCGCATTTCTGTTTAAAACGCTTGNTTAGATTAAACTGTTTCGCTAGGAGCAAATTTTGTTGAATTTTCTATTGGATTTGGCGATTCTATCCCCCACATAAACAAGCAGTGACGTCATAGTGAAATAGGACAATTGCACCGTTCAAAACACTGACCCGGCAACATGTGCTGCAAGCTAGAAAGAATTTTGTTAAAAACTTGATGAACATTCCACACGAGACAGGAAATGACGTCAAGTGAAATCCAACAATAGCCATTTCGAGGTTGAGGAGGAGAAACTGGGTCGAGTTTGGCATTGAAGTGCATTGTCGACTGCTCTAAGCTGATGTTACACGACACGATTTGCAATGGCGATCGTTCGTGCAACGCTGAAAAAAATTAGTCATTTTAAGCTGCAATGAATTGAAATCAGCTCAAAACATGGCAAACTTTTGCGAATGTCAAAATGCTTGTTCCTTCATTCCGTTTGGCATTTTTAAAACCCCATAAAATGTATGAAATGTATGCGAAAAAGCATTGCGCGAAAAATCGTGATTGCAATCTCAGTATACTGATCAGCTTTATGGGACATATTTCCAAGATGAAGTCTGTAATAGCCCCACAATGCATTGCAATGCCAACTCGACCCAGTCTTTCCTCAATTTCGGAGTGGCTAATATTTACGACATACAGCAATCAAACTCACATGTTGAGTTTTACGGAGAGAGGAAATACCTGGGAAAACCCTTATGACACAGTTCTATTTACCACTGGTATTTGTGAATATTCTGTCGCTGAAATGAGACTCATCATTAGTAAATGAGTCTGTAATCAAGGAGGACAGCGGCATTACACGAATTCGGATAAAAAGTCTACTAATACCCCTTATGTTTCTTAGTCAGTACCTATAAAGTACTTATCAAGTGTAAAACAAGGATAATAGTCCCCTTCACAGTTCCTTGCGCCATTTTGAAAGGTAGCCGTACCTCTGCATTGGAGCGAGACGAACGGTGAGCTTGTATAAAAAAACCTTTTTTAACACCTTGGACAATTATTTGTATTTCTCTTTCATTGCAAGCTCACCGTTCTTCTCGCTCCGGTGCAAAGGCACTGCTACCTTTCAAGGTGGCGCAGGGAACTGTGAAGGGAACTATTATAAACTGTATTTACTTATTTATTTTAAAGCAACTACTAAAACCGCCATTTTTCATCTAGCATTCATCAAGAAGCTTCGACATAAGATCGGGGATTACGGTGCCACACACGTAGTCGTTGCTCCCCAGGCCTCCGAGGCCGAGAAGGCCATCCTCGACCTTCCTGTCCTCAA